CGCCCCCTAAAGAAACATGGGAGTTGTAATCCAACAACATTCAGAGGGCCACACGTCCCCCTGCCCAGCCCTAGGAGGACCTGTGGCCCTTTATAGGTTGTTGGATTCCAATTCCCATCCTCCCCGCTGGCTAGAAACTATGCTGGTTTACCGAGGATGATGGGATCTGTAGTCCAACAACATCTGGTGGGTAAGAAAGAGGCTTCCCTGTGTATGAAATGAAAATCTGCCTTAATTCCCTTATAGGGACACAAGAGCCCTACAGAGTCCTTTGTAGGTTCTCCATCAGTCGAGGAAATTATCAGAGGCCAACAGAGAATATTTGAGAAGCAAAGCAGCTCGTAAGCCTGATCTTTATTGAACTGTTGCAGGAGGGTGCTCCCTCACACGCAGGAAAGGAGGAGGACCCAGAACCCAGGTTTGTCAGCCCTTATACAGACATTTTAAAATTGCCCGCCTTGGAGTCTAAGACCGCCCCAGAAACATCATACCTACATCACAGAAAGGGCGGTCTACAGCAGAAATCTGAGTGCATTGTTTACCTCCTGTCTGGCAGGTTACCTGTTAATGCTACTTGATTGGATACCCTGCGGAGCCTGGCCAGTCCTTGTAATGATAATACTTAGTTCCTGAGTCAGGTCACCCTATTCATACACAGACATACCCTTTAGACAGGATTTCTGAACAAAAAGGACAGTGGGGAGGCTTTTCCATTTCCTTGACCTTGCAGAGAAATCATTTGGTCAGTTTGGGAGTCAAAATGGGTTTCTGGGCTGTTTTTCCTGTGCTGCTTCAGACATGCGGTTTATATCTTTATGTACGTGTTTGCTTGGTACATTTATGAACATTTATTATATATATAAGACCTTAATTTTTTTATTTCACCTGAAATGCAGCTCATGCCCTGTGACTCTAAAACTCAGCAGAGTGCCATGGATTCTGTCAGCGCCCCTTGGGAGTTGTCCTTTTGCAAAGGAGCCCAGCATTCCCTATGAATGGGTCAGTCCCATCGCACCGGACCGCAATCTCCCTAAATCCCCGGAGGCTGGGTAGAGGGAGAGTCAGCCGGACTGTGTGTGTAAGATCAGATTAGGCAGGAATTGCAAATGGCACTTAAGAATTTGGCTTTCTGCCACGGAGAGCTTTGGCTGCCTGATTCGTAGACACGGCAGCGCCCCCCAGTGGCTAACCTGCGCACCAATCCCGATGATGGACTTTTCGGAGCTAGCTGACCTGACTGGAAGAATCCACGACCAGAAAGAAAGAAGGAGTTCCAAGAGGACTGGAGGAAATTTAAGGACTATTTGAATAAATATTGCAACATAAAAAATTAGAAATTACTTGAAAGAAGACAAATAGGCCTAGGATTAAATTAAGTTATAATTAAATAAATGGGATTTAGAATGTTAAGAAAAGTGAATAAGATGGACTATAATTGGAAATTGTTTTAGTTTAATAATGATATTGGAAAGCTGTTACTTTTTAACTACCAGGAAACTCGGAAGGGAGGGACTAGAGGAAGTCAGCCAAGATGCTTCAAAGGTTGGATTTCTGAAGAATTAAGTTTGTTGTTATTGTTTATCTGTTTTATTCTTTTTCTTTTCTTTTCTTTTATCTTTCTTTTTCTGTTTTGTGTATCACTCTGCTTTGTAATTTTGTTATCATTGTGGAAAATCTAATTATATATAAAAAAGGGTAAAGGGACCCCTGACCATTAGGTCCAGTCATGGGCCGACTCTGGGGTTGCGGCGCTCATCTCACTTTACTGGCCGAGGGAGCCGGCATACAGCTTCCGGGTCATGTGGCCCAGCAGGACTAAGCCGCTTCTGGCAAACCAGAGCAGCGCACGGAAACGCCGTTACCTTCCCGCCGGAGCGGTACCTATTTATCTACTTGCACTTTGAGGTGCTTTCGAACTGCTAGGTTGGCAGGAGCTGGGACTGAGCAACAGGAGCTCACACCGTCGTGGGAATTTGAACCACCGACCTTCTGATCGGCAAGTCCTAGGCTCTGTGGTTTAACCCACAGTGCCACCTGCGTCCAAAGATGGAGGTCCCCCACGGAGCAGTATTGGGACTTGTGTGTCACTATGTACATGTTTGCAAAGCATTTTGAGGATGAAATCACTTCCACCCGCCAGGACCTTGGCTTGCGATCCAGAAATAGGGGTGAGCAGTGAGGTGGCTGTGTTTGCCTAATGAGATTAAATTGCTCAGAGTCTTTTAAATTAAAAGAGCTCCAGAAGGACCTCTAAGTTGAGTAAAAGGGCAGTAAAATGGCATATGCAATTTAGTGCAAAGAAGTGTAAAGTGGGCAAGGAAATATTAATTTCACAAATGCACTCAGGAGTTCTGAAATTGGTGGCAGCTCATCAGGAATGAGACCTTGGGTGTCGTCATGAACAGGTCAAGGAAAAGTCCAACCCAGCCATGAAAATGGCGAATCCCACGCTGGCCATCGTTAGGAAAGGAATTGGAAATGAAACGGCCTGTATCATAATGCTGTTATGCAAATCTGTGATGCACTGAGTTTTGGAATACCGTGTGTGGTTCTTGTCAGCTGAGAAAAGGATATTGGAGAGTTGGAAAAGGGGTGAGCAAAACGATTCAAGTGGTGTCCAATTTTTTTTTCAAAGAGGGCCAGATTTGATGAAGTGAAGGGTCGTGGTGGGCCAAATGAAGTTGTTGTTTGATTGAATTCTGTTAAGGTTTTTCTTTTATGATTTTACCCCAGGAAATAAACTGCCACAGGGGCCAGATTAAACCAACCTGTGGGCCAGATTAGGCCCCCAAAACGGACTTTGGACATGTCTGGTAGAGGAACTCCCCTAGGAGGAATGATTACAGCGTTTGGGACTTTTTATCACCTTCACTCTCGAAGGATCTCCCTGTCAGGAATGCTTTGCTGCCTCTGCAAAGGAGAAGGTGGTTTGTGGCCTCCCGCTCCCCATTCAGCACCCAGAAACCAACTGGCTTGGCGTTATCTCTTGGACGCTGCAGTGGGGCAGTTTCTACCACTTCACATGAGGTCCGCATGCCAGCTTTTAGGGAGCTCAGGGCGGGCCTCCCAGTGCACAGAACTCTACAGTGTTGGCTGGTGCCCATTGCAACTGGTCAGAGCCCGTCTTTCCCATTGGTGTTAGTGGTGCGTTGCGCCAGAGCGCCGGCCTCTCAGGGGCGCCCCAGTGAGTGGGGGAGCTGTGCGGCTTTGCCGGCAGCCTCCCCTTTCCCTGCATGCCTGCCTGCTGCACTGCGCCAACTATATGGCTGGCGGGCACACAGCTTCCCTCCCAAGCCTCTGCATCTGCTAAAGATGGCCCTGATCCCGGTCGTCGTCGTGCTCCTGCTTCCTGGCAAAAGGCGATGTGCAACCTTCCTGGGCTGCCTTCTCGGCTGCCCTGACACTGGAGAGCATATCCACCAGCACGTTTTCCTGCTTGATTGCTGCCACCACACTGGGTGTGATGACCTGGGATTCGGACTCGGATGCTGAAGCTGAGAATCCCAGCCTGCACAGGATTCCCCGCCTCCAGAACCAGCTGAGCCGGGGCTGGGGCTTGAGCCTGAAGGGTCCTCACCTGTGCTGGATCCTCAGGTGCAGGCTCCAGCTGAGTCTGCTCTGGCTCCTGAGGTGATGGAGGACCCATTGCCTGCAGGTGCTCCACTCTCAGCCCCTTCAGGGGAAGCTGAGGTTGCCTCTGGGTCCGGTAGCCCTCCAGCCTCTCCTGAGCTGCAGAGGCTCAGGGCAGAGAGGCGGAGGGAACTAAGTTCCCACTTGAGGAGTGCTCACCTCCAAGCCAGGAGAGGCGAGTCACCAGAGGATCGGGGCCGCCCTATGCCTTGGGGCAGATAAAAGCCAGCCAGCCCCAGTCCCAGGTTGCAGGAGCAACATTGTTGGTAGCCCGTTCCTGCCTGCACCCTGTCCTGCTCTTCTGCCAGAGTTCCTGACCTCACCCAACTCCCTGCCTTGGACCCAGCTTCAGCTTTGACGGACAGCCTCCATACCGCACCCTTGACCTCGGACTGGACTTGGACCTTGCCGCACAGTTAACCCTCGGGACCAGCACACTGGGCATTGGGACGGTGGGGGAGGCAGAGGACATTTTCCCCCTCCCCCTCCCTTGTTTTGGAGTTGCCGGGGGGTGCGCATTGGAGGGATCTTTGCACCATGGCGCCTGATATGCTTAAGATGGCCCTGCAACTGTTAGAGCAGAAACAGGGCCAGATTTAGGTTTGATGAGGCCCTGAGCTCCTGAAGGTAATGGGACCCTTTCTATGTCCAGCTGTCCTTTGTCAACAACAAATTGTTGCTGTTTTTTGTGTTGAATATATGCTATATGGCAAGTTACGGACCTAATAGCAGTCTGAAAGCATGTCAAAGTGCAAGTAGATAAATAGGTACCGCTCCGGCGGGAAGGTAAACAGCGTTTCTGTGCGCTGCTCTGGTTCGCTGGCCACATGACCCGGAAGCTGTACGCCGGCTCCCTCGGCCAATAAAGCAAGATGAGCGCCGCAACCCCAGAGTCGGACACGACTGGACCTAATGGTCAGGGGGTCCCTTTACCTTTACCATACAGTTGTATCTTGGATCCCGAATGCCCAGGAACTCGGACGTTTTGGCTCCTGAACGCCACAAACCTGGAAGTGACTGTTCTGGTCTGCAAACATTCTTTAGGAACCCGAACATCCGACGGGGCTTCTGATTGGCTATGGGAGGTTCCTGCAGCCAATCAGAAGCCGCGATTTGGTTTCCGAATGATTTGGAAGTCGAATGGACTCCCGGAACGGATTCTGTTCAACTTCTGAGGTACGACTGTACTGTCTTTGAATCTGGAGCCATGTATGGTATCCAATCTGGTGTTTTCCTGAGGGGAAGAGTTTCACCCGTTCTTTATGCATTGCATGGAGAACTTCCTTTTGCCAGTAAAAATAAAAAGTCTGCAAAATACTTATGGCAATGAAAACAATAAACCAGGGATGCCAATTCTGTCCAGGCTCGAATTCTGGAAGGACAAAGTAAATATCTCCCCACTTATCTAACTGTTGAGTAGAATCCTGCCTGCACACTTGTCTCCAAAGGACTAAAGTGACTTATTTTTAAATTGCTAAATAAAGGGGGGAGTTCAGAATTTTGGGGCAGGGGCCTCACATGGCTAAGTCCTCTGGCAAGAGTGCAGTCAAATGCTTCCATCCGGCTGCTTTGTACAGAAAATAACGAGACCTTTGTGTTTAACCCATCCGTTTTATTGAGAAAAAAATAATATATGAAGAGAGGGTCTCTCGCTTTTCCGTGTCGGATGTGGCTTGTGTTTTGGTGACTCACAGAAGTGCTAGATTTTGGACTGTTTGGGAAAGACATTGGTCTTGGCTCGGAAGGGCCAAAAAATTGGGGTGTTTCATGGTTTTGGGGGACACTAGCTGTGGGGGATGCCAGCACCTGGCTGTGGCAGGCCTGGGCCAAGCCCCCAATGAGGTTCAAGAACTCGCCAAAGTCCAGCTGTCCATCGTTGTTCATGTCCAGCTTCTTCATCATGCGATCGAGGACGCCTGGGTCTTTCTGATTCTGAAAGGCAGGGAGGAGTTTTAGACGAGGATTCACTCTGCGTAAGGCTATGCAACACACACACACACACATAGAATCATAGAATCATAGAGTTGGAAGAGACCACAAGGGCCATCGAGTCCAACCCCCTGCCAAGCAGGAATCACCATCGGAGCACTCCTGACATATGGTTGTCAAGCCTCTGCTTAAAGACCTCCAAAGAAGGAGACTCCACCACACTCCTTGGCAGCAAATTCCACTGTCAAACAGCTCTTACTGTCAGGAAGTTCTTCCTAATGTTTAGGTGGAATCTCCTTTCTTGTAGTTTGGATCCATTGCTCCGTGTCCGCTTCTCTGGAGCAGCAGAAAACAATCTTTCTCCCTCCTCTATATGACATCCTTTTCTATATTTGAACATGGCTATCATATCACCCCTTAACCTCCTCTTCTCCAGGCTAAACATGCCCAGCTCCTTTAGCCGTTCCTCATAACACACACACACACGCACACACCATACATTGAAAGCACCACGGTGCCACGATAAACAGTCATGGCTTCCCCCAAAGAATCCTGGGAGTTGTAGTTCATTATGGGTGCTGAGAGTTGTTAGGGGACTCCAATTCCCCTCCCGGAGCTACAATTCCCAGAGTTCCCCCCGTGAAGAGGGACTGAGTGTTTAACCCAGTGATGTCCAAACCTTTGATGGTGAAGGGCCGTGAGGGCCGGCCAAAAGGCCAACCAAGATTTAGAAGGCGATTGGGCCAGATCCAGCCCCCGGGCCTTAGGTTGCCTACCCATGGTCTACGCTTTTCCAAGATTACAGGCAGCAGCCTTCCAAGCCACGCCGGGACTGAACCTGGGACCTTCTGCCAGGACTCTTCCCACTGCACCTCCTTCCCCATGTTGTGAACAAAACCTGCCCTTCTTCGCTTCTGCAGTGGTGTCCAGACTTTTTTTCAAAGAGGGCCGGATTTGATGAAGTGGAGGGCCGTGAAGGGGCCGGACAAAGGGCCGACCAAAGTTGTTGACCTTTCTTTAGGATTGAGGTTTTTTTTAGGGTTTTACTCCAGGAAATAAATTGCCACAAGGGCCAGATTATACTGACCGGTGGGCCAGATTAGGCCCCCGAAACGGACTTTGGACATGCCTGGTTTAACCACTCTGGGAATTTAATAGGCTGGGAGTAGAAATGACCTTCATGTTCTGCGCCTTTCTTGAGCAATACAGTCTGAGTTCCAGAGTGTTCCTGCATCCTCTGTCTAAGTTTAAATTTATATATTTTTAAACTGTTGCCAAATCTGTATTGTCCCTGTTATACCTAATTGCAAATTCAAATGTATCCCTATCATGTTTTATGACTTCCTTGATATTGTATGTGGGCTGGAACTGGTCTAGGACCGAAATGATAAAATCCATTCATTCATCCTCGGTTATCTTTGGTGCGTGTTCCCCGATTTCTTAGATTGCTTCTTGACCTTCCCTCCCTCTGTGGCTCCTTGTCTCTGGTCTATTTCTACTTTCTCGCTGTGGGAAAGTCGAAGGAAGATCTGGAGGTCCATCGGTTTATAGTTTTGACACCTTCCCAGACCATGGATGCTGGTAGGCTGGAAGGAAGGGAGCCCAGCAGTAGGTGGCGCCAGAGTGCCGAGGGCAGACACATTCTAGTTTTGTTCCCACCCTCCTCCGTGTTCAGTCCTAGAAGGGGTCAACGCCGAGACCGAGAAGGAGGAAACCGATAGCCAGCCCCATCCTCTGGACTGTTCATTAGTCAGAAGGCAGGCAGAGGTTGGTGGGGCAAGGCCCCATTCGCCCAAAGAGACCCACCTTCACTGCTCCAGAACCTTTGGAAACCATACCTTGCTGAAACTCGCCAGCTCGGTGTTCATGAAGGTCAGGAACTCCCTTTTGGACAGGGTACAGGCGTTGCCATCCCGGCCAGCGTAGCGCTGGAAGACGGCGAGGAGCGATTCGATGCAGCGCTCTGTTTCCGTGGGACCGACGGGGTACTTGGACGACTGGAGGAACGAAAGAGTGATTTGTTTTTTTGTTTTTGTTTTTTTTAAGAGACGACTAATACTTTATTTAGAATTCCACAACAACAAAGGGGGGGGGGAGAAACACAGTAATTGTGACATCAGTTCATTACAATTCACAGATTTTAATAATATATACTGTAAATAGTAATAGAAAAATTGCACAACGTCACTTTTGACTTACTGAAGTTTTCATATTACACTTTTTATCTCTTTATCTCCTTCTTAACAATCAAAAAGAGAAAGACCCAAGAAAGGAGGCACAAAAAAAAAAAAAAAGAAAAGAGGAAAGGAAGAAGAAAAAGGGGAGGGAAAGGAAAAAAGAAAGAAGGGAAAACAAAAAACCCCCACAAAACAAAATAATAATATAATAATAATAATTTATTATTTATACCCTGCCCATCTGGCTGGGTTTCCCCAGCCACTCTGGGCGGCTTCCAAGCAAACACTAAAATACAATAACCTATTAAACATTAAAAGGACGCGGGTGGCGCTGTGGGTGAAACCTCAGCGCCTAGGGCTTGCCGATCGCATGGTCGGCAGTTCGAATCCCTGCTGCGGGGTGAGCTCCCGTCTTTCGGTCCCAGCGCCTGCCCACCTAGCAGTTCGAAAGCACCCTTAAGTGCAAGTAGATAAATAGGTACCGCTTTATAGCGGGAAGGTAAATGGCGTTTCCGTGTGCTGCGCTGGTGCTGGCTCGCCAGAGCAGCTTCGTCACGCTGGCCACGTGACCCGGAAGTGTCTGCGGACAGCGCTGGCCCCCGGCCTCTTAAGTGAGATGAGCGCACAACCCTAGAGTCTGGCAAGACTGGCCCGTACGGGCAGGGGTACCTTTACCTTATTAAACATTAAAAGCTTCCCTAAACAGGGCTGCCTTCAGATGTCTTCTAAAAGCTTGGTAGTTAACAGTCTTTCTTCCACGGTTGCCGTTATCCCAGTGGCTGCAATTACTTAATGCTCCAGAGCAACCCGTAACCTTTTTGCAAGTACAGTAAACTTTTAATTGGGGTTTCCCCCTGCAATTTGGTTGTCTGGTGACTGTTGAAACTGGTAGGGTGGAAGGCAGGGAGCCTGGCAGTAGGGGGCGCCAGAGAGCCAATGGCAGGCGGTGACCGCTAATTCTAGTTTTGTCCTCATGCTTCTCCTTTCTGATGAGTTTGACAAGAGCAACATCAAGGATAAGGAGGAGGAAACAGACAGGCAGGGCCGCTCCCTGAGCTGGTTGTGAGTAAGAAGGCAGGCAGATGGGGGCTGCTGTGGGGCAGTTCCCTATTTGACCTAATGGGAGCAGCCTCTACCGTCAGAGCTCCTGTAGACTGGTGGCTAGTTTTTCTCTCTGTGTGTATTCTGCCACTGATGCAACAATAGAGTTTATTATGCTTTATTAGATATTCTTCAATATAATAATAATAATGATAATAATAATAATAGTAATAATGATAATTATTTATTATTTATACCCAGCCACTCTGGGCGGCTCCCAATCGAGTGTTAAAAACAATACAGCATTAATATTAAAAACTTCCCTAAACAGGGCTGCCTTCAGATGTCTTTTAAATAGAGGATAGCTGCTTATTTCCTTCACATCTTAAGGGAGGGCGTTCCACAGGGCAGGCGCCACCACCGAGAAGGCCCTCTGCCTGGTTCCCAGTAGCCTTGCTTCTCACAGTGAGGGAACCGCCAGAAGGCCCTCGGAGCTGGACCTCAGTGTCTGGGCAAAACGATGGGGGTGGAGACGCTCCTTCAGGTATACTGGACCGAGGCCGTTTAGGGCTTTCAAGGTCAGCACCAACACTTTGAATTGTGCTCGGAAATGTACTGGGAGCCAATGCAGGTCTTTCAAGACCAGTGTTGTGTGGTCTCGGCGGCCGCTCCCAGTCACCAGTCTAGCTGCCACATTCTGGATTAGTTGTAGTTTCCGAGTCACCTTCAAAGGTAGCCCCATGTAGAGCACATTGCAGTAGTCCAAGCGGGAGATAACCAGAGCATGCGCCACTCTGGCCAGACAGTCTGCGGGCAGATAGGGTCTCATCCTGCGTACCAGATGGAGCTGATAAACAGTTGCCCTGGACACAGAGTTGACCTGCGCCTCCATGGAGAGCTGTGAGTCCAAAATGACTCCCAGGCTGCACACCTGGTCCTTCAGGGGCACAGTTGCCCCATTCAGGACCAGGGAGTCCCCCACACCAGCCTGCCCCCTGTCCCCCCAAAAACAGTACTTCTGTCTTGTCAGGATTCAACCTCAATCTGTTAGGTGCCATCCATCTTCTAATTGCCTCCAGGCACTCACACAGGACCTTCACCACCTTCACTGGTTTTGATTTAAAAGAGAGGTAGAGCTGGGTATCATCTGCATATTGATGGACACCCAGCCCAAACCCCCTGATGATCTCTCCCAGCGGAACACTGGAAGACCCTGGCTGGATCAGTCTAAAGGGGGGGGGGGGGGCATCTAATCCAGCTGAACCGTCTTCGCACCTGATATTCCCAGTATCTGGGAAGCCTTCCTGCTATCAAATAGGACTTTTGGCAGAGCCGGGTTCAGATTCTCGTTCGGGCTGTCGACCCTGAGGCCCATCTGCATCTCTCAGCCTAGCCTACCTCACCAGGTTGTTGTGAGGATGAAATGGGGAGGGGGAAGAATTGTGCATGTCCCCCCCCTTGAGCTCCTGGCAGGAAAAAGGTGGAACGGGTATGCAGAGAATAAATTTAGACCAAATCCAAATAAATATAAGCTGCCCTCATTCCGCACTCTAGTGGCCTTATGTGTCCCTGCAGCCTCTCTCTGAGAGAGAGAGAGGAGAGAGAGAGAGAGAGAGAGAGAGAGGAGAGCCCTGGGGCAGCGATGGGGTGGGGTGGAGTGGGGGGGGGTCATGGGTGATGAGTCATTTTGGGAGCTGCTCCCGCACTGACTCTGCCCTGCCAAGAAAGCCTGTGTGAAACGGCCTGTTTGCTCAGAGCAAAGGAATGAGCGGACCGGGTGGGCGGATGGGAAGCTTGGGCGGGTCTGGATGAAATTTGTGGGTTGTGTCTTGGGGGGGGGGAGGAGAAGGAGGCAGATGATCCCTTGGCCCTCCTTTCCAGCCTATCCATTTTTTTTTGCCCTTGTGTGACGAAAACCTGGAAGGCAGAACATCGGAACCGGACTTCTACTGAGTCAGGATCTGCCTAGCTCAGTCTTCTGGGCACTGACTGGCAGCTGCTTTCCAAGGTTTCGGGGCAGCCCTACCGGGAGATCGTGGGGGTCGAAGCAGGGACCTTCTGCGTGCAAAGTGTCAGCCTTAGATATGCCTCTTCTTCCCCACAAATTAAAGTAAGATTCTGGTTCCAGGTAAAAGGGTTTTGAAGGAGGGGCATTAAAGATGCCCACGCTTTTATTTTTGCAGGGGATGTAAGAAGCTGCCTTCTGCTGAGCCAGGGCACTGGCCCATTTAGCTTGGTACTGTCTACACGGGCTGGCAGCATCATTCCAGGGTTCCAGGCAGGGGAGATTCCCCGCCCTACTTGGGTCCTCTTGCATGCAAGAGAGAGGCTCTATTGGAGCTGTGGAATTTCTGCAGTTACTAATATATAACTAGAGGTGTCGTGAGGAATTGAATAGGGACTCTTCAGTTGCGGTTCCTTCCCTTCGAACTCTAAAATTCCCTCTAAAAGGGAAGTTCCTCGTGGATTCAGAGCTCAAGGTTCCCTACCAGGTGAGGAACTCTCTCTAGCCTGTGGGGTTTCTGCCTGCTGGAAGCGCAGTTAGGCTGCGAGGAAGTTGGCAACCCCTCGGATGAGCCACGCAGAGGGCAGGAACAGTTGGCATCATTGGGGGCGGGGGGGGGGAGAGCATGTTTGAAAGGGAAGTATGACGAATAAGCATTTCTTCCTCATTCTTCCAGCCGCTATTGTCTCCTAACCCCCATTCCCCGGAAATGCACGGAGCTAAAATAACACGGCCTTTTTCGGCTGAAAGAGGAAAGCTGCCAACTCTTCTCAGCGCTTCCGTAATCCAATATCCTGGTGGCTCAAGAGAACAGCAGGCTAAGATCACAAGAAGAGCCCTGAATTTGGATCAGGTCCCGAGGGGGCCCATTTGGTCCAGCACCCTGATTCTGGAAGTGGCCAGATACCCTATAGGAATCCAGATAGACTGCCTGTGGACCTGGAGGTTCCATAAGAACGTCAGAAAAGCCCAGCTGCCGGATCAGGTCCAAGGAGACCCACCTAGTCTAGCATCTTGTCCTTGCAGTGGCCAACCAGACACCCCAGCAGGAAGACTGAATCACAGCAACCCTCCCTACTTGCGAGTCGCAGCAACTGGTATTGAGAGGCTTCCTGACTCTGAAGGTGGAGAGAACATGGTTTCAGTTCGGTGCAAAATCGCCACCCCCTTAGGCCTAATAATAATAATAATAATTGTAAACATTTGAAAAGGTTTGTAGGCTTAAACTGAAATGTTTTGTAATGTGAAAATAAGGATTTACATATAAAGAGGTAATTATCATAAGAAAGAAGAAGCTTTAAGGTAAAAAAATGATTATAGAAATGCGAGAATTTAGCAAAAAATGTTTGGAAGTCAGAAAGAAGGGGGAAGGAATTCAATGCTCAGTATGAGGAGTGGCGTAGCGTGGGGGGTGCAGGGGGGGCGGCCGCACCGGGCACAACATCTGGGGGAGCGCAAATTACTTGCCTTGCCCCGGGTGCTGACAACCCACGCTACGCCACTGAGTATGAGCAATGTTTTATGTTATAGATTTGTGTAATGAGATGTAATTAAATATGAAAACTCAATAAAAATTATATGAAATAATAATAATAATAATAATAATAATAATAATAATAATAATAATAATACATTTTTATTTATACCCCGCCCTCCCTGGCCAAAATCGGGCTCAGAGCAGCTAACATCAAGTGTGCAACACATTAACATTAAATTGGGCAATCAATTGAAATACACCCTAAAATCAGATCAGGATCAGAATAAAATCCAATCGGATGGCAACCTGCAGATTAGGGTTAGGAACATTAAATGCTCTTGTTCGGGGCCCAGAAGGAGTCCAGAATAGATCCATGGCATTACCGTGCCCAACGCAACAGCTCTTCTGCTTGCTCAACTCAATTGGGCAATTTTATTTATTTGACTTTTCTTTTCTGTGGGGAAAGACTACAGCAACAGCAGACCACCGAAAGGAGGCTTGGCCTTCTCTGCACTTTCAGTAGCAACTTGTTCGAGGTAGAAAACTGAAATATGGCACCTTCCCGGCACATGTGCGCCCAAAGCAAGAGACGGAGTGTGTTATTGTGGGAGATCCGCCTTGGGAGACGCTCAACAGGTGAAGCTTTTAACAGCAAGGCGAAACAGCACCGGGGCAGGATGTACCTGTTGAATACCTCTCCTTGCACAGATTAAATGGCGGGTTGTCATCTTCTCCTTCGTGGTAAAGGTGCCCATGCCACATGGCAGGCAGAAACCCAACAGGCCTTGCTATGCACGCATGCAAGAAAGGAAAGCTTCACCTGTTGAATGGCTGCCAGAGTGGGAATCCTGTTACATGCTGATGCTCCCTGCCCTGGGATCTGTGACATTTTGCTGGCCTCAAAATGCTCATCGTCCTCTACAGCGCATGGGTGTGTGTGCATGTCTCAAGGTGGCAAATGCAGCCACGCCCTTACCTAGGTCTCCCTTGAGCACAACTGAAACTAGCCAGGAATGATTCCAGAAGTCTTATGATAATAATGCCAATTTTTGACCCTTGCTCTGAGTGGTTCTGGTGGGATCCAGCCAGGCCCCCTGTCTGTGGCCTGCAGCCCTTTGAGGGAAGACATGTATCTCAGACGTCGGGCGTGCCTGTCATGTTTCAAAGGGAGGCGCACCTCTCTCCAAACATCAGAGCATTTCCCCCCAGCTCACCAGAACTCTGTTTCCGGCACCTCTCATTGCCATTATAAGAGAAGGAGGGAGGTGTTCCTGGTGAGATCTAGGCAGCTCATTTTTCCTAGAAAAACAGCACCAGCAAACACCATGGCCATGCATGGCTCTCTGGCGCATAGCTATGCGCCACCATGTGCCGCCACGCGCCACCATGCGCCTTCCCTCCCCAACTGAAATGTTTGCTGCAGGGAAAGTGCGGCGTCTTCCATGCGACAAACACGAACGGATGAGGAAAACTAGAATTGGGGCCCGCAGGGCTCAGCTATGCGCCATGCGTCTCTTCCAGGAGCCTCGATTGGAGAGGATGAGCTCCCTGCCAAAGCCCTTTCCACTCCCCGCTTTGCCTCCCCACCAAACGGAAACAAACTTTCTGGGCCTGCTGTCTCGTTAGAAAAACTGGACGAGAGTTCTCCCTTCCCTGTTCCTGCGCATCACAGCACATAAATCCCTCTGCCCTCTTGCAAGGAGTGCCAAGCGCCAGGGCGTCAACTTACCATAGTGCTGGAGAAAGCGTGTCAGTCGATAGGACGCAGAGACTTGGCTGGCCGGCCGCTGAGTTGGAAAGCTAGCTCTGAGCAAGGGATTTGATGCGCAACGGGTGGCTCTGTGGCCCCTCCCCTCCCGGCCAACGCCCTGCTCCCCCCCTGTTAAAAAGACGGCCTCCCCCTTTCCCTCCTCGCTTGAGCAATTGCTTTGAAATGACAAAGCCAGACTTGCCTGTTTGGAGAGCATACAAGCCCCACCTTCCTTATTCGCTCAGGAATGTGAGATGGAGGGGGAGGCAGGAAAGTTTGTTTCTCTTGGCTTCCCTGTTATCTCTCCACACACCCCCTTTCCTCTTTCTGTATATATAAATTTTCTGGTTGCGGCGCTGTGCAGGCAGGCAGGAATCCAACAGGTGAGGCTCCCCTTTTCTCAGAGTCGGGGGAATTCTGAGATGCAGCTTCTCAGCTAAAGCCTCTGTTCAGCTTGATCAAAATATCTTCCAGGTGACAACCCTTTAGATATTCAAAGATATCTAGCAGATGGATCAGACTAAAGGGCCCCAATTCACAAATCTACAGGCTGAATAGGTGGCAGGCCAGCCCAGCAGTTTAGAGTCAATGTCAAAGGGACACCATCCCAATTTCTCAGCAGCTCTCAAACTCCAGTTCTAGCTAAGGGCTGGAGAGGATCTAAGGAGACAGAGTTTCAATATTTTGCAGGGGAAAGAGGACATTCCTCTTGAGTAACTGGACTCCTCCTGTCATCAGACCAAGAAGAGTTTCCCCATCACCACTTGTATTACCCCATTGCCAAAGGCTCTTTGTTGCCCCTGTTGTGTTCATGCATTCTGCAATAGCTAGTTCCTTATTATGTTACCAAAAAAATTGTGTGCTGCAACAAAAAGTTGCAGTATAACCTCTTGCCTATCGGAAGTGCTGAAGGCTTCCAGACAGCCATTCCTTCCAAGCAAGGCTTTCCCCTCTCTCCCCTCTCCTGTTTCCCTCTCCCCATCCCCCCCCTTTTTCAATCAGATACCCGACATTCAGGGTCTACTGAGCATCACTGGTTGTGTGGCTGTGTGTGTGTGTGTGTGTATGTGTGGAGTGAGGCCTGAGAGTGGTGGAGATGGTTCACATTTTTTGCTCTGCCAGACATGCATCCCCCAGAAGGTTGCATGCGGCAATGCAGCCCTCGGCATAAAAATCTTTCCTACCCCACATGAAAAGGGCTGTATCTTCTGAGCCCAATTCTGTGAAAGGGTCTGTGGGGAGCCCTATTCTGTGGGGTGGGAGTGACAGGGGGTGAGAAAGCTGGGAATGTGCACTGAGATGCAAAATCCAGCTTCCTGGAAGTAACTGCTGCTGCATATTTTATATATATATATATATATATACACCGTATTTTTCGCTCTATAAGACGCACCAGACCACAAGACGCACCTAGTTTTTGGAGGAGGAAAACAAGAAAAAAAATATTCTGAATCTCAGAAGCCAGAACAGCAAGAGGGATTGCTGCGCAGCGAAAGCAGCAATCCCTCTTGCTGTTCTGGCTTCTGGGATAGCTGCGCAGCCTGCATTCGCCCCATAAGACGCACACACATTTCCCCTTACTTTTTAGGATGTGAAGCTCAATGGAATGGCCCATCTATGAGTGTTCCCAGTGGGATGGAATGCACAGACGCGCAGACGCGGGTTGCATTCCTTTCATGTTGCGAACAGGGCTCCAGAATGGATCCTGTTCGCAACCAGAGGTATCACTGTATAGGACAATGAAGAAACACATGCTTTAGAGAAGCATTATCCCTATTGCATCTCCAACAGTTAGATACCTTAGCTAAAGGTAAAGGGACCCCTGACCATTAGGTCCAGTCATGACCGACTCTGGGGTTGCGGCGCTCATTCCGCTTTACTGGCCAAGGGAGCCGGCGTACAGCTTCCGGGTCATGTGGCCAGCAGGACTAAGCCGCTTCTGGCGAACCAGAGCAGCGCACGGAACACACCGTTCACCTTCCCGCCGGAGCGATACCTATTTATCTACTTGCACTTGACGTGCTTTCGAAGTGCTAGGCTGGCAGGAGCAGGGACCGAGGAATGGGAGCTCGCCCCGTCGCAGGGGTTCGAACCGCCAACCTTCTGATCGGCAAGTCCTAGGCTCTGTGGTTTAACCCACAGCACCACCCGCGTCCTTAGATACCTTAGATAGCCCTTTTTAAAACAAACATAATGGGGTCCAGTATATTCTGCTTTTACAGGCTGTTTGTAAGGAAGACCTTAAAAAACAACAACCAAGAGTCGATATCTGGTAGGCCGTCAGCTAGCAGGAAGTCTGTGCCCTCCCTGTGACTTTTCGGACTTGGTCACTTTTCAGAGGTCCTGCTAAGATTTCTTAACCCTGCAATGTGCCCAGACAGAAGATCTTGTGGTTGTGACGCCCTTCCAGGGCAAGAGTCTTGCAAATTTCAGAAGAAATGATGAAAGAGGCCCTGGTGAAATTCTAAAGCCCCGTAATGTTCCCTAAACAGAGAACCTCTATGTTATACTTACAGAAACAATGTAATGAAATGGACTCACCAGCAGGTTTTGATTAAACACAACTACCAAAATAAATATAGAAATTTAACAACGTTGTTAAAATATCAAGAGGATAATAAGAGTTATTTTAAAGGCTTTAAAAGTAAGAATAACAAAGCAAGCAGGAGAAATCATGTAAAAAACCAGAAGAAGAAATTGAGGGAAGTCACAAGGGGGGTGGGACATGGGAGCTATATTTTTCTGTTATGTGATATGACATTGTGATGATAAAGTCATGCAAAATTTTATAAAAAATATTTTTTTTTTTAAAAAAGAGTTGAGCGGAAAATTCTCTCTGCCCTGGGAAAATTTGAGAGATTTTTCTTTTAGCTCAACCTTCGAGGTAGGACTGGGGATGCCCTGTCTGAGTTCCCAGAGGGCCACTGCCTGTCAGTGTAGACAGTATTGAACTAGGTGGGCCAATTGTCCGCCTTTATTGAATATTGATTATTCTGATGAGTTTGTTGTTCGCTTTATTTATGTGTGATATGTACGATAGTGATTGCAACTTTAAAAAAAATGTTATTATGATTATTGTGAGCCACTTTGAGCTCAACATGTGCTGTCGGAAAAGCAGAACACAAATATTAAATTGGACCAGTGTAAAGCCACTTCTCCTTTAAACCAGCCCTTCTTAAGAACAATGGGAACTGGAAACTTGATTTATTTTCAGGGGAAGGCTTGCAGCTCAGCCCGAGAGCCCGTGATTTGCATGTAGAAGGTCCCAGACTCAACCCTTAAAGAGGTCCTCTGGCAGAGTTGGGCGAGGCTTTGCCTGAAACCCCGGGGAGCTGCCAGTCAGAGTCTGGGCAGCTTAGGCCGAGATGGACCAGTAATTCAGCATCCTGTGTTCCTACAGGAAAACAAAACAAAAGGAAAACAAGTCTCTGCACCTGGGATACCTGGGCATATTCCAAAAATATCGTGGGGGAAAACGAGGGAGTGCCTGGCGACGGGGAGGAAACAATGGCTTGGTTTCAGATCAACGCCAGTGAGTTGGTGGAAGAAGAAGTCAAGCTACACACCCAGGAGTGTGCAATTGTGTGTGTGCTAGGCTGTTCTCTTGTGGGTTGGTTTTTTTTTTTAAAAAAAAACCGTTCCATGGGGGCAAGTTCCAACAAGAAAGAAGGGGGAGAAATCAATAAACTTCACAAAATCCCTGTACAAACTTTCCAGTGACTCATGCGATTAATCATCGCCTTCCCAGAGGCAATTAAGCAGCTGTCAGATTGTTGACTCTCTGACTCCACCTGGTGGCCGAGAAGGGCCAACTCTACCGACTCTCTGGCACCAATTTGAAAACCTCCTTTCCCCCAATTATCCTTTCAAATATTTCTCTGCAAGGAGGAAGGAAATGGAAAAAGCTTGTCTTTTGACTGTAGGGGCTTACACCTCCCTTTCCGAATACAGTCTGGCAAGTATCTGTTAAGCTGAGCACACTATCAATATGGGTAAGAGATTCAGGAACTATTTACCATCTCAAAGGAATGACCCGGCTACCCAGAAAAGCCAATCAGATAAGGCATTATCAGGTATCCTGGCAGACAGGAGAGAAGCAACACACTCAAATTTCTGTTGGGAACCACCTTTTTCTGTGATGTATGTATGATGTTTTTTGGGTAAAGGTAAAGATACCCCTGACCATTAGGTCCAGTCGTGGCCGACTCTGGGGTTGCGGTGCTCATCTCGCTTTATTGGCCAAGGGAGCCGGCGTACAGCTTCCGGGTCATGTGGCCAGCATGACTAAGCCACTTCTGGTGAACCAGAGCAGCGCATGGAAACGCCGTTTACCTTCCCACCGGAGCGGGTACCTATTTATCTACTTGCACTTTGTGCTTTCGAACTGCTAGGTTGGCAGGAGCAGGGACCGAGCAACGGGAGCTCACCCCATCGCAGGGATTCGAACCACCGACCTTCTGATCGGCAAGCCCTAGGCTCTGTGGTTTAGACCGCAGTGCCAGTTGCAATTTCAAAAGTCTATATAAGAACTTGCACACCATGGTTCTGGGTTCCTGTTGCAACAGTTTAATAAAGATCAGGCTCTTAGCTGGCTTTGCTTCTCTACTAATTCTCTGGTTGGCCTCTGTTATTTTCTCCTACGATAGAGAACCTACATAAGGACTCTATACGGGCTCTTGGATACCCCATAAAGAGCAATTGTTTTTTCTCTTAAACACTTCTTTGATGTTGGAACATGTTTTGAGAAAGTGAGGCATGGGAGGGGCTTGGCTAATGGGGAAGCCAGTTCATGCAAGCCACACAAGGCTATCTATAAAATTGGACGGTTTTGGCAGGTTCTAGAGAAGTTTGTGCATGGACTGATGGCCACAGGGCTGTTCAAACTGAGACTACTGCTTCTTGAGGGCTTCCAAGTGGGCAGATTTGAAGTGCTTGCTTGTATAAATACACGTACTTTGGTTCTTGAAACATAGTCCATCCATAAGAACTTTGAGTTCCAAATGTTGAAAACTGAGGCACAAAGAGCGTCGCACATTAATAGAAAAATGAGAAAATTAAACATATACACTTTCTACTCCAAGGTTGTTCGAAAAAACCGAAGGGCCTTCTTCGGTGGT